CTGGCTATCAGAACGCCCAAAATGGAACTGTCCACTGATGTGTTCCTTCTGGGCGGCCAACACGGTGTAGGCACCCGTAATGAAAGCGGTGAGCGGTCGCTACACCAGTGTGAAGATGCTCGCCTGTTTGTCGCGAGCACTAACTTCCGACACAGCAATCGCAGAAGGGCGACATGGCGCTCATCCGCCTCAAACCAGCCATGGACGCAAATCGACCACATCGCGATCAGTTACTGCTGGAGAGGCTGTAGCTAGAACGGTCGCTCAATTTGGAGCAGGGGCGTGCATTCTGACCACGCACTCGTGTGTGCCGATTTTACAGTTCGCTTGTGTGGGCGGATGAGGCAGCGCTGTGAGCACATATATACACGCCAGCTGGCGAAGCCAGATGTCCTAAATACGTATCAAAGTACGCTGGCATCCGGACTAAGTAAACGCTTTATGAACACAGTAGAGAGCCACTGGTCGCATACTCACCAGATGTTATTACCAGTATACATATCTTCATGTGGCAAATCAAGTTGCAAAGCTGGACATTAGTTCTCTATGCAGTCTCTGGAAATGTGGACGCTCGCTGACACATCCCGACTGGAAGCGAACACAACGAGAATCACAAAAATCTCAGATTGAAACTGCGTGCTAGCCTGAAGACCGCGAAGCGTGGTGGTCTCATCGCGCAGTGGAAATGGAAATGGCCCCTGCCCCTGGTAACCATCAGAAATTATTCCGCTTAATACACGAAACGGGCAGGAGACCTGATGTTAGCGAGACCATAAGTGATGAGGGTGGACGGCCGACCCACAATTTGTCAAAACGCTTGCAGCGTTGGGCCGAACACTTTGAGAAGCAGCTTAATCATCCAGTTACCAACTTCGCCTTCGGCCATCGATCGTTCTTCTCCCTGGGCCGTTCCCACGGACGCGTCTATATGCGCAAAAGTCGCACGTGAGATCAGACTGTTGAAAGTAAACAAGGCCGTAGGAGCGGACACAATCCTTTCAGCTTTTTTTCAAATTCGAGGACCTGCTCTGGTATATGAGCTGCACAACTTATTCGTGAAACGACAGAGCCTGAAACTGTGCCTGCAGCCGCTCGATAATAGCCCTAATTTTCAAGGGGGCGCACGTTCTGAATGTGGCAATCATAGAGGGATCAGTTTGAGCTCAATTACTTCTAAGATACTCGCCGCTGTCGTTCTTAATAAATTTACTGGCACACGTAAAAGCTAATTCCGCGAGGAGCAAGCCGGGTTTCGTCGTGGTCGCGGCTGTATTGATCACATCTTTACACTACCTCAATTGTTGAAGCACCGCCATATTTACCGGCGAGCCACCGTAGTCGTGTTCCTCGACACTAAAGATGCTTTCGATTCGGTTGATCGATGTGCCCTTTGGGACTGTCTACTGAGGGAGGATGTATCCGAGAAATATGTAAATGTCATAAGAGCGCTGTACGCGTACAGTTCGGATAGAGTGAGGGCTTACGGCAAGCTGTCGCCGCCCTACAATATCTCCAGTGGCGTGAGACAAGGATGTTCGCTGTCACCTCCATCGACGACATCATGGAAATTGCGTTCAGTGGACACGACCCGCAAGGCGAGGAGCTGCTCTCAGATGAACGACTTATTGAATTGGAGTACGCCGACGACATTTCCCTTATTTGTGTCAGGTCCCATATTTGCCAAGTGGCACTGGAGAAAGTAGCACTGGCTCTTAGTCGTTTTGAGCTATGCTTTGCACCCTCGAAATGCAAAGTCCCTCTCGAAGATTGGCAGGACCGCACCATTGCGTTGATCCTTGATGGGGATCAGTTAGTTGTCGATAAATGCAAGTACCTAGACAGCTATAATAGCGTTGGTGACTGAGCTGCACCACTTGGTGCAACACGTGTGGGTTGAGGAGGTGCCACCAGAGCTGAGGGATGCGCTTGTGCTACCACTGTACAAGGGCAAAGGAAGCAAGTAATGTGCCACGAATTAGCGTGGTATCAACTTGCTGAGTTGTGTGGGCAAGGTGATTGCTCGAATCCTGCTCAAGCACCTCGTCAGTCAGATTGGAGAACCAAACGTGGCAGAAGAACAATGTGGATTCCATTCGGGTCGCAGCACCATCGATATGGTGTTGGCCGCTCCTCTGTTGCAGGAGAAGTACAGAGAATGACACCAGCCATTGTGCTCGTAGTTTGTTGGTTTCGCCAGTGTTTGATGCGGTGAACCGCGAGGCATTATAGCTGGTGTTGGGTTAGTTTGGCTGTCCGAGTAAATTTGTAAGTTAATCGAAGGTCTGTACAGCGGTATGCGGGCGAGGGTGCACTTGAGTGGACAGACCTCGGATAACTTTGCAGTTATCTCTGGTGTGAAGCAGGGCTATGTCTTAGCTCCTGCCATGTTTAATATTTATCTTCATCCCATGATGTCTTGCGTTACGGTGTTCGTGTGAAGCGACCTATTGATGGTGGGCTGCTGAACACCCGTCGTTTCGGTGGGAGAACCCTAGTCTGTGAGACAACTAGCCGTATGTTGCTGTGTACTGGCGACTGTGCGTTGTTCGCACACAGCGCAGACCATCAACACAAGCAAAACTGTCTGTCTCTTTCAGCTTTCACCGGAGATACAATCTGCAATATTGCCGCAAATTAACATTGGTGTTGACGTATTGGAAACCATCTACGGCTTCTGCTACCTTGGGAGTGTGGTGTCGACTAACATGCAGCTAGACAGTGAGCTTCGTATCCGCGTCTCGAAGGCAGGAGCGGCATTCGGGAAGCTTGAGTACTGAGTGTGGAACAACCACAGGCTTACCGTTGGCACGAAGCTGATGGTGTACAAATCCATGGTGCTGTCCGTTCCTCTATACAGCAGCGAAACGTGGATGACGTAACGGCGAGATGCGAGATATCTCGAGCGGTTGCATCAACAGTGTTTGCGACGGATACTGCGCATTGGTTGGTGCAACAAAGTCGCGGACACGCCAGATGTTTGGGCGTCTAGCCACGCATTTTTCTTGGACTCTATTGACAGCGCACTCGAAGGAAATGCAGGCGTAGTCACTAGCTCCAAGCGGGTGACCGTAAACTATGTTACTTAGGAAAGCAACTGACTGCGAAAATAAGATCAAGAATAGATGGCGACTGTCCCTCCATGGAGCATCAGCTCTATGAGCTCTGCAGCTATGCCTGTAATCGCCGTCTCGCAGGAGAGTTTACGCCAATCTATCTCTGGATAATTAGTCCCCATCACCAAGCATCGGTTTGCAGAGTGCAACTAAAATCAACGTAACTTGTAGAAACACTATCAAGACTTCTATACACTAAAACAATTTTAAATTGCGAAGACGGGGTACACACTTCAACCGAAAGGGCTTCTACGGTCCCATCTGTTGAGTAAAATTTAAATATCTTGGAGACACTTAAACTCGAGTTTGGGTCGAGTGCAACTCCATCATCACGATCGTCGCAGGGGCGATCCGACCTCAGCAGTGCGTAGCCAGGTGGGAATATTTCACTGTGCACGACTTCCGCAGACAGCCACGTATCAGCGAAAGCGAGGACATCTGGGTGACAGTGGTCACAAGAGCGCCAACTTTGCACAACTTGTTACGCAGGCTACGCAGGTTACTGAGTTTTACATTAAGGGTTTTGGTATGGTGAGTCCAGGATCGTGCGCCACCAGAATGGGCTCTGACATGACGGAAGTGGACCGCCGGCGCACCACCCGAAAACCCACCAACCGCAGACCGCTTTCCCCCGCCGCGCGACGTGCCTTGGATAGCTGCTTTTAGTTTCTCCCTGTCCGCTAGAGGAAGGTCCGGCTGTATGCTGATTCCAGAACCTTTTAGTTTAAAAGCAAACCGCATAAGTGCTTGTCACTCCACTGGTGTGGATAGGACCGCTCACAGTAATCGAGGCCTTGGGGTGAGACTACTGATCAGTACGCATCCAAACCTGGTTAGCTTACGCAAAGTCACTCGAGGGAACCCAGGATGTAGAAGTTTAATAACGAGAATTGTAAACAATTCGAGATCATGTGACATCCTTTCTTTTGGAGATGCGGTAGAGGACTCAGACATTTCTAAAAATTACACTGCAGTTGGTGTACATGTCTCCCCGACGTGGGGCGTTTACACCGCGTGTTACAGAAGCATTGGGTGGGGACATGTACAACTTATCCCCTAACGATTTAGAAAAATTGGTTGCGCTAAACGGGGCTTGTGGAGCTAGCAAAACGGCGATGGGACACTGTTCCGGTGGATGTGTACTCAGGGCTTGCCATAAACGCTGCAGCCCCATTTGCTACTACCTTAGGCGAGGTTACTGCCTTCTTAGTCTTCCTTCGCTTCCTTTTGACGGGCATGAGTCTATAACCCTTTCGCGTTAGGTACTAAGTTAAAGACACCGTCTGACGGGTCGACGTTAAAAGACGCGCTCACAGGAGTCGATAAGATCGTCAAGCTGCACGAGTCCGAGGAGCCGCACAAACCCACGATATTCCGCAGGCCAGGCACCCATACGTTTTCAAGGCTAGCTACAATCCCCGTTACTTTCCGGTCCAGGTTAGGCACCAAAGAAAGCAGGTTTTCCATGCTTTCTAACCTGGAAACAAGTACCGAAAACCTTGCATCCAAAAGCGAACCACATCGAGTTCTGGGTTTGCAACAAGTGGGACAACTAAAAAGCACACTCACTATTTGCCGGCACATTATGCTGCTCTGCACTCAAACCAGGGCATCTTTCGTGAAACCAGCGGCAGATATCACACTGCATTACACCAGTGGAGTTGGTCACTGGTTCTAAGCATCTTAATTTGTCACATCGTCTCCGAATCAGGTTGTAGACTGAAGAACGAGTTAGGACAGACGCCTTTAGCCATCAAAAGAGGAAATGAAGGCAAGGCGTCAAAAAAAGTAAAATGCGAACCGGTTTGCAGAGGCCTACTACGCAAAAAACGAAGGGGTTAGCCGGATCTTACCAGACGTGATTCGTTCGTACGGATTTAGACTCACCAAAGAAACAGGTTGGAATCCACACGGCAAATCACTGGTCAAATGTGATGTAATCTGGGAGGACAGCAGCGACGCCACGTGTGAAGTTCTCCAGAAGAAGCAACAAAAGAGCGGAGAATCCGAAAGGGACAATGGATCCGTATGATCGGGATCCAAGAGTATCAATAAGTTGCGAACTCTTTCAGATCAGTTAACGACCAAATCAATGGACGAAAGTTCTGGAGCAGAGAAGCGGGGAGTTCTGAAGGGAAGAATCCGTATATTACTGACTCCGGGATCATTCGGTACTGAAAAGGCGCTTTTGGGAAAAGAAGTTTGCACGTCGTAAGACGACAATCAGCGAGAAAACGGCAGATGGTGGATTCTAATGGTGTTGGAACTTCCGAGACTCTTTGGATCACAAGAGTGACAGTAAGGTTTTCAGTCCAGTGCTATTCAAACACTGCTATCGCACAGAATTTTCCCGAAGAAAATCTCAATGCTGACGAAAAATCGAAGGAAGGGAAAACGCACAGAAAAAATTCCGTGTGTACTGGGACTTTCAAGGCTTTTTGAATCCCAACAGAAAATGACAAAAATTTAACTTTCCAGTTCCAACTTATCCAAACACAGTTGCCTCACAAAGCTTTTAGGAGAAAAGCTCGAATGATGAAACACGACAAGCACGCCGTGACCATGCACTACTATACACGGCAGTGAAAGCCGCAAGGAAGCTGTCTCACCGATGCCACCTTATCTTTGCAGGATAGCCAGCTGTTTGTAACGGTACGTTGTCTACACAAGATGAATGTGAATGTTTGCTTAGGGCATTAAGGTTTTTAGGTAAGTCCCCATTCTCTCCCTCTTCTTATTCTTTATTTCATAGGTCCTCATGGTTGTATGGCAGCGAAGCATCAGTTCAAATGACTGATGTACTGCGGTTGATGATGATGATACACGGCAGAGAACCGTAGAGGCGCCACCTGTGGCGCCGGCGCGATATCACCCTCGCCATGAAGAACACATTTTACAATGCAGCCGTTCATTCAACCCCACTGTATGGTTGCGAAAGTTGGCCCTTCAAAACGACAGACATAAAGAGATCAGTGATGTTCGATCATCGCCGCCTTCGCAGCTTAGCTCATGTCTGGCTGGAACACCGTGTGAGCAATGAGCGTGTTGGACGTCGTGTATTTGATGCAGGAACAGCAAGTGAACCGGTCAGCACCATCATATCACGCACCAGGCTCCGATGGATGAGCCACATGTTGCGCATGAAAGCCCACCGACTTCCGCGACGTGCGTGGTTTGGGCGCCGGGGGTGTGGATGGAGGAAGAGGAGGCGAAGCGATGATTTGGTCAAGAGGAATGAAAGTCCTTACTTCGAAGTTGGCGTTGGTCGGTGTGTCCCGATTGACTAGCTGGGGCCTGAAGGACGATAAACACGTTTGGTTGGATAAACTAGTTGACATGCCAAAAAGCCAACCTCAGTGGCGTTCGTGTTGCGAGATTCTTAGTCCATTCCCATCCCACTTATCGTCCCCTTCCGCCCGCGAACCCCTTGATACATAGTGTTACTAAGTAGTTTGTCGCCTGATTTTTAGCATTCTATAATGTAAAGCCCCTTATTATTTTCGGTTGTTTGATCTTTATGTACTGCGGCACAATAGTTGAAGTGTGCGGTGATGGTAACCCAGAAACAATTCTCATATGATATTGCCATCCAAAACAATTGACCCAGCGATCTAGATGGACCTGACTGAGTGAATCAATTGTCGATTCTTCTCAACTACTGTCTTCCTTAACAAAACCTGTTAATGAGACAGTTGAAAAAGATGATCCATTCGCAACCGTGTCGACTAGCCAGTTGGACACATTTTGAAGAGTTCGGTAAGCCTACTGCGATACCGACTTGGTGAATCACCCTATCCCACGGAGAAAGTTGGTGTCATAATTCCCATTTTGGAAGAGTTGTCATGAGCTTGCCGTGTTGAAACGGAACAAGGCACTTGGACCCAACGACTTTCCTCCATTTTTGACTATTTTTTGACCGAACTTACTGCTCTATCCAACACGTATTGGGACATTGAAGAGGTGCCTTCAGACTGGTGACTGTTGTGCCCACTTGCAAAAAGGGTAGGCGAACATTGTGAGATCAGATCAGGTACCACGGACGATAGAGGCTTTCGCTTAACGAGCGTCCTGTTTCTAGTGCCGGGAAGTGAACAACCCCCGGCACGTCGACGCTGGATTGACCAAGAAGAATGTTTGCACTTTCATGTCTCAGCATCAGAATACACCATATATTCCAGTAGAAGTACAATATCTCTGAGAAAAGGTCAGACCAACACTTATCTAAGTTAAGGTTCGGGTTCATTTGGGACCGGAACGATTGGATCATCAAACAACGTTACTTCTTTTGCGTATCGTTGGATCGGGAATTGACAGGTTGGCCTGAGATATTGAGAGACCTAAAACAAAGACCGCATCACACCCTGTCAAACCAATTACTCCACACATTGTCCTGTCCAGCAGTTCCTGTCAGGCCGGTTTATGTGAAGTAAGAGAGTGAAGGGTAAGCTAAGAAAACAAGAGGAGGAATATCAGCTAAAGTATAATAATACCAAGATGTAAGAAATTTAAAAAAGTGAACGGAAAGTTGAAGATAAAAGTCGGTTAGAAGGTCTGGTACTGCCACCCAAGAGCATCTAACAGAGGCTTGAAACCCTCAAGCATAGACTCCCTAACGACGTGCTCCGGAAGCAAGTTCCAACGTTCAATAACCCGGTGCGACACGTGAGTTTCCGTCCTTACCCAGTCAGAATGCAGTTTGTGCAGCTTAAACGGGTGACCTCGGAGACTACGCGGTTTGGCGGGACTAAATAGTCAGCACAAGTCTGGACCGATCTTACCCGTTAAAATACGGTGAAGATCAAGTCTCCTATAGGTTCATAGGATTGTAGAGAGCAGAAGGAGAAATCCTTTGTCAGCTCCATCGTTTCCCGGTCATTGTGTGGAGGCCGCGATTCGATGTTATGCGTTAATCCACAAGGGACCTTGACAGTTGCACTGGAAGCTGCAAGGGCCCATCGTACTCAAAAGATAAGAGTCTAACATTTGCTTGAAACATTCCTCAGTCTGAGCATCGACCACATGCTTCGGCAAGTTATTCCAATCGTTGACTACGCGAGTTGATAGATCGAGAGCAGGATGAATCCGGAGGCTTCTGAGTTTAAACAGTTTCCAGTTGTGGCCTCGAGTTGAACTGTTTGGATTGCATTGAAAGCACGCCTGCAACTCCGTCCCCATCTCTCTTCTCAGGATGCGCCTGGTGAAAATCAGGTCACCACGACGTCGGCGATAATCCAGGGTGAACAGATTCATCCGCTGAAGTCTCAGGAGATAAGGCAAGTCCCGTAACTCCAAGATGTGTTTCGATCCACGCCGTTGGACCTTCTCAATGAGGTCACATTCGAACTTGGTGAGAGGGAAGACGGCAGGTAATCCGTATTCGAGAATGGGGCGGACGTGGGAAGTAAACAATAGTCGGAAGATATCCGGAGACAAACGCGAGAAGGGTCGTCGTATGGCATGGGACATCCTGTTGGCAGCAGCAACCCTTCGTAACGTGTCCTGTGTAGTCCGTAGATCAGATGACACCAACACGCCGAGGTCTTTTTCAAGGATTGAGGTTCTGAGCAACGCCCCACCAATGTGATACGTCCCGAAAGGCTCAGAAGCACCAATGGGGAGGACCGAGCACTTATCGCGATCTATGGGTAATCGCCATTTGACTGACCACTCATGTAACGTATCAAATGTAGCCTGTAATCGGTCCGCCTCGTCAAGACAGGATACCTCCATCCACAATTTCAAGTCGTCAGCGTAAATCAAGCAGTCCGACTGAAGTTCCGCCGGGAGGTCATTGATGAAGATCTTGAAAAGTTCTGGGCCCAGTACCGATCCCTGAGGGACACCGCTAGTCATGAGCACATGAGCGGAGTAAGTCTCGTTCACGTCGCATTGTCCGGTCATCCAAAAACTCGGCGATCCAAGAGAGAACATTCCCAGAAACACCGATTAATCGTAGTATATAGAGGAGTCTTTCATGAGGAACCTTATCAAAGGCCTTGCTGAAGTCGACAAAAATAACATCCAGACGTTTCCGAGCGTCTAATGATTTCGCCCATCTTTCACGGGCCACCAGCAAATTCGAAGAATAGGAGCGCGCCCGCCGAAAACCATGCTGCGCACAAGAGATGAGGTTTAGGTTCTCCAGGTGGAGAAGAAGTGCCCGCTTGAGAATCCTCTCCATTACCTTGCACAATATTGACGTTAAACAGATGGGTCGATAATTGGCAGGGTTTTGACGATCCCCTCCTTTGTGTATGGGTTTAACAATCCCCACTTTCCAAGCGATCGGGAGCCGTCCAACTTCAAGGGAATGTCGAAATACCCGGCAAACAGGAGCGGCAATGTAATCGGCCACAGTCCTGAGGAACAGCGGAGGCAACCCATCAGGACCCGGCGAGGAGTTCGGATCTAATGCACGAATGCCTTTGGCAACGACATCAACGCTTATTTCTACATCCTCCAACGAAGAAGGGAGTATTGGCATCGCGTCACTGGGAAATGGCGTCTCCATCGAGTAAACAGACGAGTATTGCATGGCCAGGAGACTGGCTTTCGCAGCATCATCGTCAAGTAAACCCACATGAGCCAAGGAATACAGAGCAGGAATACTACTGCCTGCTCTGGTACTTCTCTTCAGGTAAGAGAAGAGTGCCTTGGGAGTTGTCTTGGATTGCAAAGCCAAACCGAGTTCGTACTTTTGCCGTTTCTCTCGTTTTTTTTTCAAGTTGCAGATATTCCTGGTCACTTTATATTCCGATTAGTCAGACCAGGATTGCGTGAACTTGAATCGGACCCACAGTTTCCGTCTTTTGTTCATTTGGCATCTCAGTTCTCGATCAATCCATGGAGAACCTCTGGCAAAAAGTCTTTTGTAGACAGGAACGACCTGCTCAACGAGCGAAATCATTTTAGAGTGCAAGTAGTTCCACTCATCGTCCAAATCCAGGGGTACGGGCATACTCCAGTCCACACTACTGGCAGCCGTTTGTACGCGTTGGGGATCAACACGCCAGAAACTTATGCGGAGGCGACCTTGGTTGTGGAGAGTAAGTCGTCGAGTCCAGAGAAATGTAATGATACAGTGATCGCTTTTACCAATGGGCTGAAGAACGGCTAGGTCGGTGACACCTGATTGTGCCGGTGAGAGTACAAGGTCAAGGATATGGGATGTTTGTCTTGCAATTATACGAGTAGGCGTTGTGACATGTTGGAATAAGTTACATTCGATAACCGTCTTTAAAAGAGCGAAAGCAAAAGCGTTTGAAGCGGGAACACAATGCAGTTGGTCCCAGTCGATACCCGGGGCATTAAAGTCACGCAGTAATAAAAAGTTCTTGCCTCCGCCATGCATTTTGATCGCGTCCAGCAGACAAGCTCCGGAACCCAATGGGGCCCTGTAGACTACACCAACCATGAGAGATCGGCATCAGTCATGAACAAGGCACCAGAGAGTTTCGAAGTCGCCTTCGCTGCGACAGTTAGCTTCAACCAGATGGGTCTTGAAGTCCGTCTTCCAGTAAAGTATCACGCCGCCCCCAGGTCTTCCTCCATGGCGGTCTGTCCGGTGAAGGTGGTATCCAGGGAT